ATGTAAAAATATATGTTGGCGTAGAGCCAAACATCAAAGAAGTTCATGCACATGCATCTATAATATCAGCTCATTGTCCATTTTTTAACAATGTATTAAATGATGCAACAAAAGAAAATGGGTATTATATTATTAAGGAAGCTAATATTAGTGAAAAATGTTTCAAACCTATTCTCAAGTGAGTTTAAAATTTTATTGATTTATTATTAATGATAATGATAATAATCTTAATAATTTGTTTATTGTTGAAAGGTTTTTATATACATGTAAAATTGAAATTGAAAATTATTCTGGAGCTGAAATATTAGAGCTATTAATTGCAGCAGATGAACTTGGTATTGAGTCACTTTATGAATATATTACAGAATATTTTATTGAAAATAGAAATGATTATATAAGTGAAAATCCAGTTAAAATTCTACAGTTGATTTATGCTAATGAAAAATTTAAGGAGTTAAAAAATATTTATTTAGATACATTTTGTGAATATAGCGAAGAATTATTTGAATCAAGTGAATTTAAATTATTGGAGAAACCAACTTTCTTGGAAATTCTCAAAAGAGAAGATTTTTCTGTTAATGAGATGGTTATTTGGGAAAATATTCTTAAATGGGGATTGGCAAAACATCCTGAAATCAATAATATCAATGTTGAAGATTGGTCATTACAAAATTTTGCAGATTTAGGCAACACATTAAAAGAATTTATTTCTCTAATGAGATTTCAGGACATTTCCAAAAATGATTTTTTTGATAAAATTGTACCATATCAAATGCTTTTTCCTAAAATTTTATGGAAAGATCTTTTACAGCATTATTTGGCTCTTGATAGACAAGAAACATTAAATTTTAATCCAACACTTGAATCATTGACAATCAATCAAAACTTAACCTTGCTTTTTGCAAGTTGGATTGATAGAAAAAGTCCACCATATACCTCATTCAGGGAAGTCAAATACAAATTCAAACTTCTATATCATAGTAGCAGAGATGGTTTAAATGTAGCTACATTTCATCAAAAATGTGATAATATCAACAAAACTCTTGTAGTTGGCAAAATACAATATTCTGAGCAAATAATTGGTGGTTATAATCCACTTAGTTGGGATGGAGAGGGTTATAAAAGTACAAATGAAAGTTTTATATTCAATATAAATGATAGAAATAATATTAATACCGCACAATTTAGTTATGTTATCAATCATCAATATGCAATTTACTGTGATCCTTCACATTTACCAATTTTTGGTTATAATGATATTTTTTTTCAAGCTAAGAGTACTATTGTTATTAATAATTTTGCATATAGTAACATCAATATAGTATATGGTAATAAATTAGATGAATTGGAAGTTTTTCAAATAATTGATTAAAAAAAATAACAATAAATACAGTGTTAGATTATTATTGTATTTCTTTATATATTTTTCATATGTTTTTCATTAGTTATAGTTTAGTTACTTATGTTAGCTTGATAAATTATTACTAGTGTGAGGAGACAAAATATGAATAACTAATAAAAAATTTTTATTGAACATTTAACCAATTTAATGATAGTAAATGAACTTCTGGTCTTCACTTGAAAAAATGGGGAGTAGAAAATAACTTTGTTTGGGTCCTCACCAAGGTTGGGTGATGAAATATTTTGGAGTGTAAAAAATATTTTGTCAAATGGGGCACATGTGACAAAATGTGATGAAAAGGTCAAAATCAATGAATTTTTTCTTTGGTCATTTAGAACAGCACTTTCATAAAAGTTTGACAAAAGAACTTGGCATTTTATTTTTGTTTATTGCATTGTTTTGTTGATTGTTAATTTCATCCAAATAAAAACAAGAAATAGAATAATGACATGAAGGGCATTCACAGCTTGAGTTTAAAAGATGTTCCACGATTTCAGGTTTTTGGATAATATTTGCAAGATGTTGAGTAAATGTCCTTTTACTTTTCCATTACATCAGACACAGGACATCCTGAGTTAATTCCTAAACAAATTTTGGATAAAATTCAATTCATATAGAATTAGAATTTGACATCATGAATTTATTCCTTGAACTAGAAATGTAAATAATTTAAAATTCACAAAATAATTGTTTATTTTATTGTTGATTTCATCATTCATTTATCATTTTGCCATTTTTGTCAAATTCCTCAAAGTAGGGCTTCTATTCGTAATACAAATTCTTATTCGAATTATTCGTAATATAGTTGACCTTTAATTCGAATTAATTATTTGAATAAAAATTTAATTCGCTTTATTCAAATTATTTGTTTTTGTTGTATGTGAAAATGAAATTATGTGAATTCGCAATTCAATTTCACATAATTTCAATTTCACATATGGTTGGCTCGGTCTAAAGACCTCCTATTGCTGCGCCATACGGCCAAAGCAATTTTGTAATTTGTTCAAAATTTTTCAAAAATAGGACTTCACGTGATTTTAGTTTTCTTACTGCCAAATTTAGATACGATAGTCAAGAACTAGTCTAAATTTAGTAATATTTTTCTAAATTTAGAAATGATCACAGTGGACAAATTCCTCGCGAGCATAGTAAAGTACATGTTTTAAAAAAGAATAGAACTCCACAACAAATAATTTTTTTGAGAAAATCTCTCTATTACATTAAAACTAAAGACATATTCTATCAACTAATAGAGCTAT